AGCCAAACCAGCTAGAATACTGAAAAAAACACAATGACTAACAGTTGGAAAGGGCACCACAGCTCAGATTTGCTCTATCGCAAGAACAATTTTCCCTTCCATCCCTCACACCTTTAAAAAGTGTAACTTCATGTCTGGGGTTTCAATGGCTCTCACTAAAGTATGAAGGCCAGGTAAGCCCATCCCTGTACAAGCCAGCTATGGGTTTCCAGAGGAATCTCCAGATTCTCTGAAGCCAGAAAGTGCTGCAGAGACAGGATGCTCAAAGTCTAGAGTGAAACAGTTATGTGGTCACTGAGTCCAGCAAAAAATAGTAGGATAAAAAAAAAATAAATCAAACAACCTTGCTAGGAACATTTATTTTTCTAGAATGAAACCTATTTGTGCCACAATCTGAACCAGTGTGCTTCCAGAGATGAGTTAGGGACTTTCACAGCAACAACAGTTTGAAGCAGAAAGTGTTTGTCTTCTGAAGACTGTAACAGTGCACAATCTGTCAGGCTGTTCACCACATTCATTCACCTCCTGAGGTACTTACTTGCTGACCACAACAGTCATACACAAATACCCTAATCAAAAGTAGGCTGATTTTAGCCCACTAGTGTATAGCAAGTCATCCTATTCTCAGATTCATAAAACACAGCAAGACAAAAGACTGTTCTCAGCTTATAGGCGAGGTGGCATCGCTTGACCAGGCAGAAGTCACAAAAACTCCAGCAACTGAATGCAAGTTTTAAATTCTTGCCTGGCCCATAAGACGGCCATTCTCTGTGAGCCTCAAGGAGCTTAGTGTCCTAAGCATGACAGGATGGTGCAGCTGCTGCAGCAGAGTGACTGCTCAGGAGAAGGGTTACAATTCAGATGCCTGGGTTTACAGGGAGCTGGGTGCAACCATCCAAGCAGCAGAGACCCAGAGATTAGGATGCCAGGGAAACACCAAACTAGAGACTGTATCCTTTCCTTCAGACAGATAAATGGCATGCGATTTTTATAAGCACACTAGGAGCTTCAGCCAGACGGCTGGAAAGTTGCCTGTTCACTTCGTAGCGTGACAAAGCAAAGGCATATCCTATGGCATGCAGAAGCTGAAGCCTTCACTACACAAATAGAAAGAGTTCAATAATAGATCCGCTGAGGGAAAGTCTCCAGCCAAGACCGCTCCAAAGCAACTCAGCACCCAAGCTAAATAGAGTCTGGGGTGGAGGGCAAGAACAGAGCAGCTCATCCCATCCCAGCCAAGATGACGACACTCCTGCAAAAGAAGTACAGCTGCCAGCTTCCCAAGAGCAAGTGAACAGACAGAAAGGACATCACACAACTGAAGCTGCTAGGCTGGGGATCTCACAGATACTCCTCTGTCAAAGGCTTGACCCCGAGCTGCAGTTTGTGCAATAAGGGAAAGAAACATAACACGAATGAATGGGAGACAGGAAATGGATTAAATCCTTGTCTGGCCACACTGATGTCTGCTTGTAAGCAGAGTCTCCCTAACAGAGAGCCCCTCTCAGCTGTCACCACAAGGCTGAGAGATGCCTTTTTTTTGGCTGGTGTCCCTTTTGCTAGTGAGCAGCCCGATAACGGGTGCTGGCAGAATGAAAGCTCTTCCAGATATGGCTGACTCCCTGTAAACAAGGAGATGAAAACAGTTTGCTTCAAGTCACAGCTGGGAGAAATACTATAAAGCCAAAGTAATGCCAACGGCTTACAGACATTTTACATTGCTTACAGTCCAGCGTAACACCATATGAATCTGGCTGTGCCCCCGCTTCAAGCTCAGGCACCAGAAATCTCACTATGAGAAGAATAAGAGAAGGCCAGAATTTAAGTTTCTCTTTTTGGCAAAAGGAGAGCAGATATATTTATATTACCTGAACAACCACAAGAATATAGAGAGCATGAACATTTCTAGCCACTACTAGACCTGGAGTAAGCCTGACATCCCCAGAAGCTAGACTTCCAGAAAACCTGAAAAGAGAGAGGTACTGGTACGGAGAAGGTAAGGAGGTAAGGAGGAAACAGGAACAACGTTGTTTGATGGGAATGAAGCACTGGCCTTGTGAAGCATTCTTGCTGGACCTGTCGTGAAGAGCAGATACTACAGTCCAGCAGGCAATCATTAAGGACCACAGACAAAACAGAGAACACGCTCAAGGATGGTAACCCAGAGAAGGCATTTAGTGACACAAGGGATTCTTTTCTTCTCCTTCCATGAAGCTAGCGTAAGCCCTCTCCTTTTTTTTTGTTTTGCAAAGTGCTGGGACAGAACACTGTCAGATTTTATACCAGTCATCTTGCTTTTCCCTGTTGAAGGTATTTACTGAAGCTATGCTTACTTAGGATGCCCCCTAAGAGATTAATCCCTTGACCTCACAAGGTATCAGAACTTGCAGCATTTCTGGACTTCAGTCCCACAGTAGCAGAATTAGGTGAAACACGGGCAGAGGTCTCCTTTGCTGCTAGTGAGAGCCATGGTGGCAAAGCAGCAATCACATGGGCTCAAGTTCTTCCACGCCACATCCACCATTCTCTTTTTGTGAGAAGTCTGAAACAAACTTTGGGGCCTGTCCTTCTCATTGAAAGTTGTCATCTGAAAACAGGAGATGGGATTCACCTGAATTAGGAGAGACTGGTGCTTCCTAAAGAGACAATATTCATTGTGGTGAAACAGAGGGAAACACATCATTAATAAAAATAATTTTTAAACCTTAGCTTGACTCTGAGACAAGAGAAATGCAGTTATCACACACCCCTAGGTGCTGCCAACGTAACACTGATGGGCTGCTGCACAGTCCCAGGAAATAAGACCTCAGCCATACAATGTGGCTCAGGATTAACAAATGTTGCCCACAGTAGTTACACATCACAAGATCCATCATTTTCAGTGGCTGCTTTTCATTCCGTTATCAGAATACAGATGCACTGCTGAGAACAAGCAACTGCCTATAAAAGATATGTGGGATGAGGATAACTGATCCAACAACCTGCTCAACTCTCAGGACTCAGTGGCTTCAGTTGTTCTTGGGGCTCTCCCTTTTGTACAGCTGCAGTACAGGAAACGAGCAGGAACCAGCACATGCCACTTCTGCTTTACTTTTGTTGATTACTTGGTGGGCTCCAGCATTTGTCAGAAGCTTTCTGGGGGTCCTTGGGAAAGAGAGGTCCAGGGTCTTTCCCACTCATGCAAGAATGTCACACAATGCATGATTAGAGGACAGGCAGTACAGTTATTTCCCTGGAAGGGTGCCATTCACTTTGCTTGCGTTTCCTCACGCTTGCAAAGGGAGCAGAACATCAGTGTCCTCCCATCTCTTCTGATAGGTTTCTCCATGGTGATTGTCTTCCAGAAATGCAGCCCCCGTCAGCTCAGCTTTCACCAGCTGAGATCCTAAATATCAACAAACCCAGCTCCTTTCCATGCTATTCTCACATAGAAAGAAAAATTGAGAAGTCTGCTACCATTCTGCATTGTCTCCAAACAATTGGACTCGTCAGGCAAATGAACCAAACTACATTTGAAACTGAAAATGTTCCATGAATAACAATGTCACAACAGCACACCCTACTCCTAAAGTCTCTGGGTTAACAATGTAAGAATCAATGTATATGAGTAACTGCAGGAGCCCACAAGAAGGTTTTTTACTAGTAACACAATCAATTGTTTGGTACTTATGAAACTGCAGTTACATCAACAAGGAAAAATAAGCAAGATTTTTGGCAACTTTAGGAGACAAGGTGAAAGCTCACAAGTTTCTAATGACAATTATGTGCATAAAAAGTCTGGGAAATTAAAAAGCTTCAACAGAAGTTTGGCCATGACAGCGTAAAATATTGAGTGTTTCAACCACAGCCTTGCATAAAACAAGACCAAAGAGACACCAAAGCAGATATATTACAAGTGAAAAAACTTAGACTGACCAGTGGCCAAGTAGAAACTGGAGAACCAACTGTGGTAACTGCCACGTGGAAAATGTGAATTCCAGACAAAGAGTTGCAAGAACAGACTGGAAAGGTAGATCTCTGGGTATTTAAGTGGGTAGTCCAACCAAGTTCTGGCTAGGTTATCAACTACAAGAGGACCTCTGCCAGTGCCCTGTGGGTGAATTGGTAACAATAGCAATACAATGAATAAGCTTTGCGAGCTAAATTATGGACTTGTTTACACGGGAAATTGTTAGAGAAGCTAGGTGTAAATTTAGAGCACAATGGCTTTTTTGCACCAATTCCCAGATGGGTGGGTAACACTGTTCTGCTCTGAGAATGTCTTTCAGAGAAGGCAAAGCTCAACAATACAGAGACACTTTGCATACTGAAAGGTGGTAGCTGGGGACAGCTATTTCACAGGTTTTTTTTCTTAAATGTAGGTGGGTCCCAAGACTGTAAATAATTGAAAGGCAAAGCAGGCTAACAGCACATCTGGGGCAAGTTTTTGACAAGTCACAGTCTCTAAGCTTTTTTCTCATCTGGGGAGAGGGAACATTGTGCTTTCATGCATGTCTCTAAAGGATATCGAGATGCAGGAGTAAGAGGTGCTGTAAGGGCATGGGCATGTACAGGGTACATCACCTTTGTCCATCACCAGCTGCATGGAATTCGATCAAAGCTTTCCAGTGTATGTGACCCGAGTATGAGGACTCAATACCAACAAGCCACACAGTGCCATCAGTCCAGGACCCCTGCTAAGCCTGTTCAGTCACACTGCAAAGTGTTGGACTTGACATTTATTTAGCTTCATGCCCGACTAGCGGCAGTCTCCTGTGTGGAGAAGTACAAACCGGCATTACAACCTAAGCTAAACTGTTTCACATCACTTGTCCCCAATACTGCACTTACCTTCATGTGTAATTACTCTGCACCTAACACCAGTGGCGTTCTTTAGTTACACGACCAGGATATCAGGATCCAACCCATTGATCTCAACACTCTGTGCAGTAGTTTAAAGCCAACCAATTTAATGAGAAGTGAGTGAAAATTTGGGCAACGTGAGACATGAAGATTTTTACCTCACTAAGTTGGCACAAGGTCCTGGCCACCGGCAGCTCTGATAAACTCGCTGGATCACCGTTTCTGACCCATTCTGTACTTGGCAGGAAACCGTCCGTGTAACCGTATAGTGACACCAATGCCTGCAGAGAGAAAGGACACTGTTAGCCTCAGTAAGACAGCAAGCTGAACCAACACATACGAGACTACAGTAAAAACAGACAAAGTATCTGGGGGTGGGGTTGTTTCTTCTGCCAGCCATAGCTAGCCTAACTTGCAGTCTTCATTTCTCACCCCACCCTCTCCTCCCAATAGCTGCAGAAAGATTCCCTGCTTCTGCCAACCTGAACCACAAGAGAACCAGTAACGCCTCTTGCTTGGTCCTCAGAGGCCAGGGTTTTATAGTACACAATTTAGTTCTGTTAGTTATCATAAACAATGGGACTTTAGAGGAAAAAAAAAAAAAGGAATAAAAAAAAAAGTGTTCCAAATCTCCTGATAGTCAGTTCCCATTGTACTGGTCTTAATTTCATCCCACTCATTATGGTATCGTTCCTCAGCCTCCTACCATTCTGAACAACATCTGAGTTGGAAAATTTTGCTTTTTGGTGTGGTGGAGCTCATTGTCAACAGAGCGTGAACAAGTCATATTGCTGTCCTGGTGAGGTTACAGTCTAAAAATGGGTAAAAGAAAATGCAGGGGAGGGAGGAACTAGTGTCTTATGCTGTCTCACAAGAAAAGAAGAGTGAGAGAGACCTTCTCACTGTGAGACATATGAGAAGGCAGGAACTGCAATGTCAGCCCTGGGAATTGGGACCCATTGAGTCTTTCCACTTTCTTTGAAAAATAGGTTTTCAGGTTCCAGTGTCATGCTTAAGGGGGGACAAGGATACTTTTATTTTCCCCTTGCAAGCATCATTCATATTTGCCAAATACTGGTTCACATTTTTGCTTTTGTACCTCAGCATAGTTAACAGGTTTGAGAGCCACTTTCCGACTGACTGAGGATCAGAACTGGGGTCACTAATGGGAGGTGGAGACACCAGCTCGTGTTTCAAAACACCTGAAGTGCTTGTGTAAGCATTCCCTGTACATGCAGAAGAGTCCTGCTCCTCATCCATCTAAAGCCTCCAGTACAGCTTATCCTTTCTCAAAGTATTGCAGTGGCTCCCCAGCCTTGCATACCAAAAATCAGCTACTTGCACAGTGTAAGCAGGCACCTGCAGACCCTCTGCTTCTCTAACACACCTTTCCCATGGCAGTTTAATTTTTATACAGTATTTGCCATTTACAGCATTTGTTGCATTTTCTTTCCTTTTTAGATTCCCCTCCTATCTCCGCAGGAGGCTCCCTGCTCTCTGGATAACTCTCATTTCCATGAATAGGAGGCACACATGCCAGCAGCTGAGCACAGCGCTGCAGACCATGATGGAGAAGCTGGGGCCAGCAGTCTGCTCCCCAAACCTTCAGCTATGACCAGACGCGTGAGCTGGGGCACCCAGAGAGAGGGTGGCTTTCTACCCAGTGCCATCAAGCCCATCAGCTGCGTCAAGGCAGAGCTATGCAGCTTTTCCTGCAATCACTGCTCCTGCTCACTGTAAATCTGCTTGCAATTCCTCATCAGGAAGCACAGACTAGAGTCACATCTGAGGTGCCCCCCAGGCTGGCAGGGAGGTCCTAGAGAACCACTGCTCTCAGATTTATTGAGGGTCTGTGGTGTCTATAAATAGGGATCAGACACCCTAGTACCCAAATGTCTCTAATAAAATCTACATCCTAGAACCAAAGAGTATAAAATGGGGGAAAAAAGATAAGATTAATGAAACTTCAGATCACATGATAAGAGCAGATCCTTTAACAGGCTCAACACAACTTCTGCAGAAAGTTTAGGGAGCAAACCCAGGAGAAACACAAAGACAGGAGCTAAATATTGGAAATGCAATAATTCAAAGTGAAGTTTTCTTTCTAATTTCAAGTCATCTTCCCAAGCCTTAGTCATGGGATTTGTTCAGCCGGGTATTGCTGGATAAGATCTCCTCACGCCATGGGAACAGCCAGTTGAGCGTGGAAGGAAAAGCAGCCGGAAGAAAGGGCAAGCACAGAGGGGCTGGGGAAACCATAGCTCTGTATGATTTACCTTGAGCATGTATTTAGCAGTGCTTACAGCCTTCGGAAGGGCAATATAACCCTTTTGCACAAGCCTCAGGGCAAAAACATTTCATGTCAGGCAAAACAAACTGCACATACACAGAACCTGACAGGATAACACCAGAAACATACGTCCTGAAATTATGAAAAACAAAGCTTCTCACTAACATGCAGTGAGGAGAGGAATTGGTCCCACCACAGGAGCAGAACGAAGTAGTATGCACACTAGCAACAGGCCACAGAGCATGAAGGGACAGGGATACTAACAAATTCAGAATAAAGTTACTCAACATTTTAAAACCCTCATATCAAAACCATTTTTCTGGCTCATCAATGAAATCCAAATAAATCAAATATATGTGTCCCTCTGACCTTCTCCCACCACAGAGTAATCTGGAAAGTAGTACTGTTTCCATGGTGTGGAGCTGGATTATCCTACACTGATTATTTTACTCTAATGCTGATTTTGGTGGGCTTCTGAGACAACCTGTCTCACTTTCTTGGATACGCACAAAGCACTTCTGTGTCAGGTAAAAAAAGATTCAACTGCATTCTGAGCAAAACCCTCCATAGCTGATGCCGAAACTAGAGCACTTCATATTCCTGAAGGCAAATGAGGTGGGAAGGTGAACAAAGACGAACACCACCGCACACCCCAGCACAATACAGAAGAGAAAGGCAGGTGTTGGAGGCAGACTCTGCAATTGCCAGAGGGAATCTGGCAACCTATCTGCTCTGGTTAATGTATAATGGCAGCTCCAAATTGCAACTCCTAAGGAGAAATGAGAAACTACCCATTATTCCCTTTAGCTTTCCCTTGGGTAGACACAGATTTAATGTCATCTTGCTCCTTCAAGGATTATTTTCAACGAGCTTGTGAGTCTAGCACTTCTTTTGTGGATCTGGACCTAAACAAGTGGCACTGTGCAGGCTCCCTATGTCAAAAACCGCAAGAAAGGTTGATTATTTTAAGCTATCTACAAAGCTGTGCTTGCCAGGGGCTTCATTCAGTGGGTGCTGCCAGCACGCACACAGATTTTTCTTTCCAAATAAGTTCAAAACTGCTGTTGCCTGAGTAGGTCTCTTGTACCTTTGCTCTACCTGGTCCTTGGAATAATCTGTTCGGGTACACGCATCCCCTCGCAGATCCAAGGAATTTGGCAGTCGAGTTGTCATTTCTGCCTTGGAAAAGCCTTTCTTGGAAGTGAGATGTGCAGGACAGACCTTGTTACAATCTAGTGACAGAATCTTAGGCAGCAGTTGGAGGTTAAGGCTGCTCCCACACTACAGCGCACAGGACAGAAGCCTGCACAGGGAGGGCGAGGGGCGGGGGAAGAAATCCAACACTTTCCCAGGTTCATTTCTTCAGATGACCTGTTCAGGGACCTGTTCTAAAAGAAGCAATCATTACAGGAAGTGAGAAGCTTCCCCAAGGCTCTCCATTCATTGTTTCCTTGCCTGAAGCCATCACCTGGGTTTGCCAGGCTGAACAGAACTAGTAGCCCGTGGCAAAGTAACAGATCCAACCTAGGGACAACCTTCCACCTTCCTCCACAGGAGCACCCAGAGAGCAGTGACAGTGATAAAGTACCACAACACTTACACTTCAGCACTCTCAGATTCTTCTCTAAAGCAGAACCACAACAGTGTGGATCACGAGGGCAAAAGAAGAAAAAAAACAGTCAGAGCCCAAAGATGCTCAGATAATCCAACACAAACACGGATTTCTCCAACTTCTCTTTTTACCAACAGACAGAAGAGTTTGGTTACAAAGGTACGCACCCAGGAGTGAAAGGTACACTCTCATTTGCAAAACATCAGACTTGGATCACGAGGGCAAAAGAAGAAAAAAAACAGTCAGAGCCCAAAGATGCTCAGATAATCCAACACAAACACGGATTTCTCTAACTTCTCTTTTTACCAACAGACAGAAGAGTTTGGTTACAAAGGTAACGCACCCAGGAGTGAAAGGTACACTCTAATTTGCAAAGCATCAGACTCTTGGCTTAATTTTCCTACAAATGCAACTTTTAGGTGTTTGGTTTTTACTGTGGCACACAAGCAGGTGAGACAAGAAGACAGGAACACAGCTGATCATGAGATGCATTAGGATATATAGCTTGGGACTCACTGTAGATACAATAGCACAGTGACTATGACAGAGACACAGACAAAACCACCCCAAGATTTCTCTTTGCAAGCCAAAAGTCAGCAAGAACAGTCTCCAGCATGCAAGCAGACCTCAGACAAAGTGACGAAAGGCTCCATCATGGCTTACAGAGATTATAAATGACCCTTTATATTATATGCAGATGCTAGTAAAAAAGGTTTAGGACTTTTACTGGCATGCGTCCAGGATGGCAGAGAATATATTGCTGCTTATTCAAAAGGAACATTCCTACCAATGATCCAAATAGCAGCTCCTTTAGGGCTGGGTCTGTTGCATGCTCATCACCAGCATATTTAGCACGATGCCCGCAGTGTCTCATGGAATTGGTTTTCCACTGTTTTGCTTAGAGAGGCAAGTCTCATGTGGTCCATTTTCCACAGCCATTTCCAAAGAGATGCCATCCTCTCACACCCTGTTTAATTCTGGGAAGACTTTCATGGACAACTGAGGATCTGCTGACTATGGCCTGCAAGCTACTGATTTAGACAGTTTCAGTCCAGGGCTACAGACCAAGATCTCATGTCTTGATCACAGCTGACAACGTCTTTCTCGAGGGAATAAGAGTGTTGATGCCAGCTGATATCCAATCATGTTTACTGTGTAGATTCAGGATGTTAGTGTGGTCATTTCAGGCTAACTGGAGCAGACTCAACAGTTTGCTCCCATTTGGAGATACTCTGAAAACTACTATTCTGAGCTTGAATGGACCCCTCGCTCAGCTGCTGAGAGGGGGTTGCCCACTCTGCTGACTCAGCAAGAGCAGTGATGCATGGCTTCAGGCACCTGGATACCAGAGAAGACAAGAAAACCTAACTTTCCAGGGT